TCAACCTTGCAGGCTTAGGTAATCCTCCTGTCTCAGCCTCCTGAATAGCTGGAAACACACACACACACACACACACACACACACACACACCCCTGTCTCAGCCTCCTGAATAGCTGGAAACACACACACACACACACACACACACACACACACACGTGTGTACCACCACACCCAGCTAATTTTTTGTATTTTCTTTTGTAAAGACAAGGTTTCACCATGTTACCCAGGCTGGTCTCAGACTCCTGAGCTGAAACGATCTGCCTGCCTTGGCCTCCCAAAATGTTGGGATTACAGGCATGAGCCACCACACCTGATTTACAACCACTGTTTAATGTGAGACTTAAAAATCTTAGATAAATAAGGCTATGAAGGAAATCCAGTGATTTTTTTGTTTTTGATTTGCAAAACAAGTGACTAACAATTATTGAGAAATTAAAGAGCTGTGTGTAGGTCTTGAGCCTGTGGGTTTGGGGGTTTCTAGTTGTCCACCTGTGTTAGTTCTAAGTGTTCTGGGTAAAACAGTATTGCCCCAATGCTTGCCTTAGCAGAGCTGGAGTTTGTGAACGTACTCAGATGTGTGTCTCCTACAAAGAAGGGAAAATGAACCCTGGTCTGAGCCTAGAACAAGTTTTAATGGGGCATGTCTGACATTTCAAATTATTTTTCTCTTGCTGACAGTCTGCTCCCAGGTACATCTAAGGCCTTGGTCAGCTTCTCTGTTACCAGTGGCTCACTTTATAAAACAGCCCACAGGGATAAGGGCTGAAAGTATAGCCACTTGGCTACATTATTGATTAATTAAGTAAGTTAACTGTGGACTTACAGCATCTTTTCAGGATGTTAGTGCTTTGTGAGCCAGTGGAAAAAAATAAGCTTCTATTTCATTTGTAAAACCAGAGAGTTGGATTAGATGAATCTCTAATGTCCTGTCCAACTCAAATGTGCTTTCCTCCATACTAGGGTATAGATTTTTGAAGAGCCAAGCTGACTTCAGCATCACCTCACTCTTTGGTCTCTAGTATTACTTCTTTACATTTTACTTCATTAGCTATTTCTTAATATTAAATATCTGAAGAGCTTGTGGCACTGTGTCCGGAGTTTAGGGCATTGAAAGGTTGATGACATCATGAAAGACCTGGGAAACCCTGCTTTTAAGGAAATTGTACCGGTGTTGGAACTCATTGACCAGTTAAAGAGCTCTTTGGAGACTCAAGCATATTATTCAACATGTTTTTGGGATTATCTTCAAATGATAGTCACCTACCTCTTTCATTTCTAATTTTTATTCACAAGTAAAATTGTTTTTGTCCATAGGGATTTTATAGGACATAAGCACTGTAGTAGATACTAGTAGCATGTTGTATTTTGCTTTCCATTTTCAATATAAACTAGATTTCAAGCAGATATCGATACGGACTTTTTTTTATTAGACTTTCTCTGAGGAAAGTCAGCATGATCTGTATTCATCTTACATATTGGTAGGTCATGAAGACTCCTTTTTGGCTGGAGTTGAAACTGAGCTTTGTTTTCTTTGTTCCTGTTTTATGGGCAGTCTTTAGGTACTTTCATGCTACTTAATAGGCAGTGCCTCATTTGGTGAGAGTTCTGGAGTGCCTGCCGAGACGCTCCCTGTTTGTGAACAAAGATTATGAAGGGGTCTTTGTGAGAATTCAGCAACAACACTGAACAGCAGTTTTTTTTTACACTGGATTATCTTGATCTGATGAGAGTTTACAAATCATTTTGAACATTTTTATTATGTATACATTTTGAAAGCTTTAAAAATAAGTACTATGGAGCACCTTTGAGAAATGTAGGAGCAAAATCATTTGTTGCCTATTCCCCCATATTTTCTTGAGGCAGGGAAAGATACCACTACTAATTCTCACTGCTGACAGGCATAATCCGAAATGGTTTTTTGTTTGCCTGTTTTTCCTTCTGGCTAGTAAGAAGCATGACCACAAACGAAATATTTGTGGTCAAAAGAAAGATGCAAGAGAAATTCCAAATAGTATGAAGTAATGTTATTTAAACTTTTAATACGTGTTTAAGCATTCCCAAGGGAGCTTGTTAGCAGTACAGATTTCTGGGCCCCCAGAGGGTCTGTGGTTGAGCCCAGGAATGTGCATTTTTATTTTATTGAGCACTCTGCCTGACTCTGGCTCAGGTAGTCCCTGGGAAACACTTCAGGAAACATTCCTGTAGAAAATATATCTATTTAAATATTGTCTGTTTTATCCCACAATGTTTGTTTTGCGTCGCAAGCCATTATCTTCTAGGCATGGGTAATCCACATTGAGAGGAAAATCTACACAACAGCGTGCCTAATTTGCTGCCACCTGTGTTTGTGCTGGATCTTGCCAATGTTAGCTTTATTTTCTTTCAACTGGCAAAATACTGATAAAGCATATAGCTTCACAGTAGAGCAAAAAAGGTGACTAAATTGAAAGTCATGACTGTCAGCAGTCTAATTATGCTAATATTTTATTTTCTTCTAGAGAGGTGTCTTTATTGTATGTAATTCCCTGAAGAAATGTAAAGATTTATCTAATTCCCATTGCTCTGCCAGTTGTGTTCGATGGAAGCATTGAAGTAAAATAAAATAACCTTTTTAATCTCTGTATTTCTGTTGCCCACAAAGATATTTAAATTTTTTCTTGATCTTTGTTTTTGTTTATGTGAAAATATTTACGTATGTATCATTTCTGTATATATCACAGAAAAGTTTTCACTTGCTTGACATTTTATTCTACAATGATTTTTAGTTTAAATTTAAAGAATGGCTACATTCAGATTTATTTTCACAACTATAGTCCTGCTAAACTGCCTTCACTGAAAACTCAGTTTTTATAATAAAAAATGTCAAAGCACAAGTTTGTTATTGGAGGTAAATTATAAGTTTCTCAGATATCTATTGGTACTAGACCTTTGTGATTAAAATTAATTTATTTTACAATAGTAACTGACCTATATGGAGAAAAAGAAACACCTTGAATTATGGGTTCTAATATTTAAATATAAAAAAAAAATATGGTTATTTGTGCATATTCTTATCACAACCAAGAAAACAGCTCCTAATAAGAAAATAAATAAATATTTAACATTTCTAAAGTGGAGTTTTTTTTAAAAAAAAAGGACTACTGCATCTCATTTAGAAAAGTTTATCATGAATAATAATTTCTGTTAAAAGCTGAATTTAGCTTCAGATTGTGCTTCCTTTGGGTTCTTATTTTCAAATTAGACCTCAAGACCTGTGTGCATATAACTGTATTCTAGTTTTAGAAGTTCTCAGAGTAGTTCAAGATGATATGACAAAAAACTAGTAGTATAGTCAACAATTGTTAGTAGAGTTATAAAGCTGTTAAACAGCTTTAAGAAATTCTGTCTAGGAAAGTGATGAAAATTTTACTGCTGAATTATTTAAAATTAGATTGTCAGTTTGGCAAAGCAATGATAATGTCTGCTTCTATTTTGATGAAATGATTTCATACTGCATTTCCATTTCTAAAAGCAAAGGCCTTTCTGTACTTATAAATCCATAGGAAACATCATTTATTTGTATAAGAGTTTCAGTTTTGTGCCAGTTAAACATGAGGGTTGTAAGTCACAAAAGAAGGTTGATTTATAAAAGCAGGTTGTTATTGAATCTACATTTGATGTTTCCTTCTGACACAAAAAAGTAAGAAAGATACAGCAAAATAGATATTAAAGCAACATGTTGAATTAAAAGAATAGTCACATCTACTATGAGACTAATGAACCCCACTCAATTCATCCATAATAAAGAGAACTCTTATAGAGCAATTTCTGCCTTAACTATCAAGGTGCAGTCAATTAGATTTAATATAAAAAAGGAAAAAAAAGTAAGTTTCATGGCTGTATCAGTCAAGGTTTAAGCAGAGAAGCAGAACCAGTAGAAGAGAATAAGATTTATTGCAAAGAATTAGCTTATATGATTGTAGGGCTGGCTAGGCAGGCCGGAAGTATGAAAGGCAGGCTTTCAGGAGGGGAAGACTGGAACTCTCAGGCACAGGCTGAAGGTACTGTCCACAG